TTTACAGTCTCTTGCTTCAAGATCTAATACTATACTACTAAGAGAACTTTTTCTAATAAATTTTAATAAATAGCATAACTGTTAGTATTTTAAAATGACCCTGTACTAGCATTGACTGTTTTTTATATTTAAAAAATTTAATTGAATTTCAAAATGTCATTTTCCTGGTATGTGGCAAACGATATTTCCAATCATAACTAGCTTTAAAACATCCCATACATTTTTCAATATCTAATTTCTTTTATCTCAACCGTTGTAAGCATTTCTAGAATATATGCGGAGATTATTATTTACGAAAACTTTGGTGAAAAAAAATTTTTCTGTCAAAAATTTGTTTGTTACAAGAAATTCCTGGCTGCTTTTATTTAGTTATTTATAACCAAAATAGATAGCGCCAGCAATCAATATCTTATGTTAATAGATTAATTAGAATACCATCCTATCTTATTGCATGAATAAAGTACATAGTTTCTAGTTCAAAACCTATTTCAAAAAATTTTTCAAGGTAAGTAGGTTCTTATGTTGTCATTTTCCTGTATTCTTGAAGTCATTAATAACATAAACTATATAGGTTTACCTGAGTTATTTAAAAAAATCCTGTTGTTTTCTGCTGAATGTAAACATCTTTGGCGGAAATGTTAAATTAAAGTAAAGTTAAATGCTATATAATGGCAAATTGTCATTATCCTGGCTGTCGTTTTCCTGGCTTATGAATGCCAGGCCATTGAAATAGTTGCCAGAAAATTTTTTAGACAGTTGAACGTAAAGAGAGAAAGCAAAATATTAACCTAATACCAAGTTTATGTAAGATTGTAATATGCTTGAAGGTAATCAAAGTTATTTATTTATTAATTGATTGATTATTATACACAATTTTATTCTGTACATATCAGCAACAAAAACATTTTTGATATTTTCTACAGTGGATAAAATAATAAGTTTCAGCATTTCATGGTCCATCTAATGCAAAGGCTTAAATTGAGTTACTTGCTATTAGCTTAAAATGACTGTTTTTTTAACTTCGAAGCTAATATATCATTTTCCTGACATTCGAAATTTGGTGAATTTCTATCTTATTTTTTTTCTTGAGCAAATGTCAATAAACTACACTGCTGTCAGTAAGAAATTAATAAATGTAACTAAATAAATACACAAAAAAATTAGATTATTTTGAAGACTTTAAATTTGAAAAAATTTCCGAATTGTCATGCTTCCAAAGAATCACCCTATATCACTTTATCAATAATGCTGAAACTGACCTTTTGCGATGTACCGTTTTTATGAAAATACTTATGATATCGCTTTGAAATTTTTGGGGGATGATTGAGATTTTATCAGTTGTGATAATCTTTTAGCGTTAACAAAATTACTTTTTGAGTTATGAAAAATTTTTACTCAAAAATTATTAAACTTTTTGAAAAATCAAAAGTTCTCAGTTTATAATTTGTTGAAATATTTTTCCAAGTATATGTATTAGCAGTTATCACAGTGTATATATGTATCAGTAAATATTCTGTGGAAAAAAGAACTGAAGCAATATCTTGTTTAGATGCTACATCGTACATCGTACGAGGTCGTACATCGTACATCGAGAAAAGGTGCATCGAAAAAGGTCAGTTTTAGAATTTTTGGTTAGCCCTACCGATTCCGCTTAAAATATTCATAAACATTTTAAATAACATTTGGCATTTATTGAATAAAAATTAATATGATATTTTCATGAAGACAGTATTGGAAATATTAAAATATATTTACTAGTGATATTATTCGTTCTATGTTTATACTTGCTAGCTTTATGCTTTAAAAAAGTTTTTTCTTTTGATCTTTGCGTCTTATTCATCGTCTATCAAGCTGCTTTTTGGTTAATAATTTAGCTTTTTTTCTTCTCAAATCATTCTCAAAAACAGTTTTTCTGTATTCGCTTAGGCAATGTTTTCAATAAATTAGTGAAATTTATATTCAGAACGGGCGTAAGAATGCAGCAAACGAAGCATTTACTCAGATCCCACATTTCTAAAAGAGCCACGCACTAGTTATATTAAAAGGTGTGTTTATAATGTTAGTAAACATTCAGGTTTTTTCTAAGTAATTTTCAATGTTATAAATTTGAAAAAAAATGTGATTTCCATTGAAAGAATTAGTTTTTTTCATCCCTTTTTAGCAATGTTCTAACGTGTAAGAGAAGTCAGAGTCTTTTTAAAGATATTTTTAGCATTGAAAATCTTAAAAATGTCTTTTCCATTTAAGGCATATAGATAATAACCTAAACATGGCTGTTAAATTCAGTCATATTCCTATTTCTGGGTCATTCTCACTGAAAAGGTATAAATAGACTAAAACATTTTCTTGAATTAAAGTAATTAAGAAAGTGATAAAAATTACATAAATGCCTCTATTTATTTTTGTTATATGTCCTTATAATAATGGTCAAGTTTTCTATTTTATTTTTTACCAGATTTAAAATATTTTAAATTCTGCCTTGTCCACGGAGGAGATGTAATAGTCAAAGGAGGATACATTTTATGTTATAAAATATCAATGAAGACTAATTCATTAATTATTGGGTACAACTGATATGAGTTTAACATAAATAAGTAAATAATAAATAATATTTCATTATTAGAGATTGAGCTACTTCCGATTAATCATACTGCTATGAAAGGAAGCATCCATTTTTAACCTAGGTGTACAATTTTTAAGTAACTCTTACTGAACAGTAATAAATTAAAATGTAAAGACTATTGAAATAAAAATTCAGACTCCATATGAAAGTTGAGGGTACTCTTTCATGAACATTTCATGCAAGTTAAACATACTGACTTCCAAATAACGTTTTTTCTTTTTATCTTTTCTTCTTGTTATTGTTTCTTTTTTCCCTGGGCACAAACGGCTTGCTCTATCAATTTCCAGAAATTTAAGTACATTTAATCACGATTTTTCTGTTAAATCTTTTTCTGATACAGATTTTGAAGTTCCTTGCTCTTTTTTTTTTTACTTTCTTCAAACAATATAGGGTTTTCTTTTAATTTCTGACTAGCTTGTCTCATACTAAGTTTTTTCTGCTTCCTTCTCTTTTGCATTTGAACATTTGATTGCTTTCTTTTTTTTACATTTCGGTTTTGCCATTTTTTTCCTAAAATTTGAAGAGAAAAAAAATCTTAAACGTCACAGAAATTATTTAGAAAAATTGCCAATATTTAATTCTCCGATAAGAAAAAGTTAAGCTTAATTGATTTTCTTTAAAAATACAAACAAATTAACACATTTGTTCCTTTTTAAAAAATATCAATTAAAAGAAAATAGTTTTTTAATTATTAAAATTGTATTATGGTTATCTAACACATTGTCTCTTCCACTGACTGTGTCTTCTCCTCCGTGGACTTGTTATGTCCACGGAGGAGACAAAACTAGTTCTTGAATTTTACTGATTTTTAATTTTAAAGTTACAAAAATGGGGCAGTTCTTTTTATTAAATATACTATTTTTGCAATTGAAAATTCATCTATCAAAAATAAAATAATTTTCTCTTACCTTCTTTATGATGTCCACGGAGTATACGGTGAGAACTTTGCCAAACCCCAGTTGAACACAACAATCCAAAACTGACACCAAAGAGAACAAAAACAACTGATAGTTAACATTAGAAAATGGAATGGTTACCTTTCCCAGCAGCTGTCTTATAAGGATTTCGTATATGCATTTTTTATTGCATATTTACCGAACTATATTAATTGTCCATGGAGGGAGATTTCATTTTTGATGGACAAAGTTTACCAGTAATTTATTTAAAAAAAATAATTTAAAAAAAAAATATTAAATAAAAAGTTACTATAAACATTTAATTAGGTAAAACTACAAAAATCATTAAAATGACATTTAAATTGTTTAACAGCCATTAAAAATTATTTTGTGTCACAGACGCTGGGACGTCCACGGAGGGGATTTTGAAGTTATGTTTATCATAAAATAAGAATGAAATATTAAATGCATTTAGCAGAAATGCATATGATTTGTTAGTTAGAACTTTACGAAAAATGATGAAGAAAAATATTAAGAAATCTGCTGTATTTCCTAATATTTATTACTAAGGGACTTAAAAAATGACCTTTTTGTGAGAATGACCCTTCTATGGGCCTTGCACAGTAAAACTGATCAAAATCCAAGTAATGGAATTAGAAAAGGAAATATCAAAATATTTTTAGTTGATAATTTAGACGAAATCCTTAACATGTTTTTTCAAAGCCAAGGAAAATGAAAAGTCACAGTTTAAGTGCCTCACACTTGAAGCAAACTGCAATTTTACACAATTTTGTCGTAAAGAATTATCTGGGCTTTAAAGCGGACAAATAACTAATATATTTAAACAATTATTAAACTTTTTTTAAAAATTTTCGATTTGGTGATATTTTCCGCCCAGATGAAAATTATCAAAATCAATGTCTTATTTTCATTTTCTTGAGAATTTTTATGACCTTAGATAATGTAGCATTGGAGTAAGTTTTTAAATATTTAAAAATTAGACATTTTCAAAACGTTTTCCACTTTGATATTTTGAAATATTTTCTGAATAAACATAGAGGGCGCTTTAGGCTAAACTTGACCTAACAGTCATGAGAAACTGTTGTAAACACACATGAATTGTTCGATAAATCATTCATTATCCCTCAGACTAAGATTTCGTTGTTTTCCTCTTCCTGTAACGCAAATGCGAGTTAGTTCCCTCAAAAAAGTCCTCCACGAAGGAAAATTTCTCCCAATACTTGATCCAAGATACCTTTTGTCTACTGGATTGGGTTCGAAATTACAAGGCTACGGAGTTAACATTAGTAGACAAAAACCCAAAATTGGGTTGGCTATTCAACGATGGTTATAAAATAAAATCATTCATTAAACTGAATCAGTATGATAAATTTTAAAATAAAATATCAGAAAAACATGAAGTTTTTTTGTTTTTAATAATGAAATTTAAAAAAAAAAAATAAATAAATTATTAACCTAGCTAATTATAATATGCAATTTATTTCTATAATATAGATCGGACCTAGTAGAACCCAGGGACAGAATGAGGGACCTAGCAGAAAGAAAAGATTAAAAGGGTCCTAAGCGATGTTTTGTTTAGGGCCTGGCAAATTCTAGCGACGACTTTGTCGATAACAATTATAATATGATATTTTTTTTCTATTTTGATTGGCAACAAATAGTGTATCCCAATAAAAAGAAAAATCTTATGGTAACGAAAACTTTCTCCTAGCATTTGTGAAAACTTTGTGATGGATTTTTTGTAGCTTTGTGAGGTTAGATTGAAGATGCGCGCGCCTTCTGGTTTCTCCTCCGATTGGATGAAAGAGTAAAGAACATTACCCGCCTCTCGATTGTTGAGTTCAGTAGAAGAGAATCTCTCTAAGTAACAACATGGAACGAATACGTTGTCTTCCGCGAATCATCTTATTCCTTTTTTACATCAAATCTCTACCACGTAAGTTTCTTTTCACAACAATCACTATTTTTATTTGCATTGGAATTCAAAAATATATATATTTATAGCAATATATAAGTACATGGAAGCGCTAAATTTAAATTTTATCATTTAATAATTTCACATTTGGTTGCGCATCTCTGATAAAATACAGATTGCCTAGGAAAAGAAATAGAACTGTGCTTAGGTAAGCACTAAATAAATTTTAAAAATTCATTCATCACAGTATTTTGACATGGTGTTTTTATGCGAGTATTTTTAAAAGTATTTGTATTTTGACATCTCGAAATGAAATCGTTGTTACTTAATGATTCATGAGAACAATGTATCAAACAACAGTATGTAATAAAGTATCAAATAACATTTTATAATGTGTACCATACGAAACTTGAATAATTTTATAGCGAATCCAAGAATAAAACTTACTTTGTACTGACTGCGAGTTAAGTTGAAACCATATAAAAAATTTATTGAAAAGTCAAAATAACTTGTAAAATTTGAACTATCTATCGATATTTAATTAAAAATATCGCTAAGTTCTACTAGTTTGTTCAGAATAAATAAGCGATAATTCACATTTTTATTAGTTTCTATCTAGTTACGTTACATCATGTAAAAAAAATTTTTGACAAATTTCCTATTATCAGTGTAAATTTGGAGAATTGATTTTCGTTTCTCTAATAACAACATAACAATTTTCTCACATTTCTTGCGTGATGTATGCATTCAAAATTTTGATAGTCAAACACTATCTCGATTTAGTCATCTCTGTAATCTATGAAATATAAATTTTCGAGTGCAGAAAATTTTCACTTTTCATTTTTGCAATTGACGTAATTGATGAAAGATGCATGCTCATGTTTTTTTAAAGTAATTAAAGGGAAAGTCCTTTTAATATACAGTACCGTTCAAAAGTTTGTTTGCAGACCATTGAGGAGAATCTATAGTGTCCTTCATGAACAGTAGAAAAATTTGAGATGAATATTGTTTAATAACTGTTTGCTTCCTATAACGGCATGTATTAATGGTTATTAAATGAGTTAAGTCATTTAAAAAAACTCAGTTTCACTATTTTGCAGCTAATTTTGAAATCTCTATAAAATTGGAGACAGCAGCTGAAAAGTTTAATTTCAAACAAAGTTTAATTGAGAAAAACTTGATAAATTTAATACCATTGATAAGAATCCAACTATCTGCATGTCATGTTCTATAAATAATATTAACTCTTTAAAATATTTTTAATTATTTCTAAAATAATTTGCTTTTGAAAATTGATAATTGGATTAAGGCATTTTAACTTACAAACATATATTACGAATCAGTAGTTTTAGTAAACAGATCCAACAATTGTGCTCTGCTGCTTATATTGTTATAAAAATATTTTATTTATTTAAAAATATTTATCGCATAAATAGCATCTCCATTAAATATCTTTTCTTAATTGAAAAAATTAATAGGAGATTTGCTAAACATCGCAATATGATATGGGTACTGTAAGGTCTAACATAGATATCTATTATGGTATACCTTTATTATCCGTATCGAAATAAGTTTATTTTCCGGGTTCTTAATGGAGCGTAATGTGTTTCACGGCCTCCAACTCCAGTTAATGCCCAACACTTGTCAACACGTTTGTATATGTTTTAATAGATATCTATGTTAGACCTTTATAGTACCCATATCATATTGCGATGTTTAGCAAATCTCCGTTAATTTTTTCAATTAAATTACCAGAGTATTCTTCAAAGTATTTATTTAATAATTTAATGTATTAATCGGAATAAATCTACATAGCAAAAGATATTTAATACAGATGCATAGTTTAAATTGGAGAATTTTAATAATTTATGCACAAACAATTTAGTCACGTGGAAGTTACGAAATTGATTAAAATTCTCATATAATTAACGGATACCTTATTATATGCCAATAACAGTTCAGTTTTACGTTTCGCAATCATTGAACATTTGAATCTGAAACATTTTCATGTTTACATTTCTTAATTTTTTTTTTCCTTTGGAGATACTCAAATTTCTGCTTTGCGTTATTATCGATTTCTTTTTTTTTCAAGTCTGCTCTTACTTAGAGAAAATTATAATCAATTTAAATGTCTGAAAATCTCCAAAAAAATTTTTTCTATAATTAGGCTTTTAGAAATTTATTCAGGGAAAAGTTACTTCCCTCTAAATCTCTTATGAATCGTTAACTGAAGAATACAAAAGGAAAGCTTTTAAATTGCATTCATTTTTCCCAAAATAATTCTAAAATAAATTCGAAAGAGTATAAACGAAGTAAAAAAAAATTGCTTTCTAAAAAAGTATTTTCCATAACTGAGTCATAGAAAAAGCGAAGAAAAATTTTATTCCTAGAAGTTTTTCATATAATTACTTAGTTTAATAAATGCAAAGAAATACATTTATACTTAAAAAAAGTTGAAACAGGAAATTTGCATAATATGTATATTAACTATAAATTGCGTAATCCGAATATTTATTTTAACTTCAGTTTATTTATACACAGTTATAAATACTCGAAATGAAAGATTTTAGTTTTTCCTTTTTTAAGGATTTATTACCAAACTAAATATTGAATTAATAAATTCTTATTTCAATTTTACTTAGAAAATACTTTCTAAAGAAATTGGTTCCATTCAAGGAAAAATTCTTCACTAAAGTAATCATTGTACACTGCTAGAAAAATTAGATTCTATTGAGCTCTACCTGCAACTTAAGAGTACATTTAATAACGTAACAAGTTGACTTAATATTGCATTAAATTGAACCATATTATCGAGAAAATTAATCCATCTTAAATTGACAATGTGGAACAAAGGCTTAATACGAATGGAAATATGATCTGATTTAACAACTTATTAAAGGCATTCTGGTTTAATCTTCCTTTATGAGAGTATATTACCTTTTAGAATTTCTATTATGTATCTTATTGAATTTTTGAAAACTTGAGTAGGCAACTTTTTTGGATATAAATTCAAACCATGCTTAAGAGAAAACTAAATATTTATTATACATTGACACTAGTGACGAATAGAACTATTTCAACAACAAAAATAATTGTTTCTAAAACTGATTTAACCACGTTTTTTCATTAACCGCGTTTTTCATGAATTGTCGAAAACTTCACTTGGTTCATTTCAACGATCAGTTCTAATTTTGGAGCATATATTAACGCATAACAATGGATCATTCACTTATGCTATTGAAACATGAGAATTTAGAAAAACTTGCTGAAATTTAGACCGTTATAATATCACGGTCTTCATAAAAAAATATTCTGAAATAATTACCAGAACAGAGTTAGTGTCATATTTATTGCATTTCAAACAGTATAAGCTTAAATAAACACAAGAAATTATGTCGGCACGTGCACTAAAAAATAAACCCTCGAAAATCATGATTTTTTATTTCGTTTTGGGCGAAAATTTAATATTTTTTACGCATTGACACCAGTGACAAGTAGAACTACTTCAAAAATGAAAAAAAATGGTATTTATTACTTAATTAACCAAGTTTTTTCATTAACCACATTTTTCAGGAATTTCCTAAATTTTTCGAAAATTTCACTTGATCAGCGATAATTTATAATTTTAAAGAACTTATTAAACCATGTCATTCATTTATGCATTTGAAATATATAAATTTAGAAAAACTTGCTAAAATTTTGACCATTATATTCTCACGGTCCTCAAAGAAGAATTATTCTGAAAGAATTACCAGAACAGAGTCAGTGTCATTAAATTTATTGCATTTCAAAACGTTTGAACTGCAATAAATGCAAAGACACGTGCAAGGTAGAAAATGAACATTAAAAAAAATTTCCGAAACCATTTCCTGAGAAATGTTCACAGGAAAAGTTTGACAAATTGAGAAAATTACTGTCTTAAATTTTTTTAGAAGGCCAGTTTCATCAAAATCTCACGATTTAATAACAAAAATTGATAAACAGCACATTTAAGTAGAAAATAAAATCCTAAGATAAAGTGTATGAGGGAATAATTACTCAGTTATAGCCAAGAATTCTGGAAGCCTGTCAGTCATGAGAGTTGAATATTTAAGAGCTCCTGTTTCGTCAAAACTCACGAGAGCTCATGATAAAATTATTTTCTAAAATAGCTGAGTACAGTTAACAATTTTACTGTTTACAAAACTGAGTTTTATTTCTATTGCAATTCAGAAGCATCTAACTATATTTTTTGTATGATCACTGAACAAAATCCAAAAATAATTTTCATTACTGCAGCTCTTTAAGGGGATTTCGAAGATTTAAAATTTAAAGAAATTTCAATTCAGCTTTAAAATGACATCAGGTTTCAAAATATAGTTATCAGCTTAAAACCACTTGGTAGAATAATTATATGTTCAAATAACCGTGTATTAACTGCTTTCACCGAATACGGTTAAACAACCAGAGTTTTCTCACAAACTAGGCGCACCTAATGAAGCCACTTTGTTCATCGCAGATGGGTACATATAGCAGTGATGGCCAGTCTCATGACTGGTAGAACGGTGGTTCGAGACCCAACGTTGGCACCTAAATATTTCCTTCAACACATGAAGAGTTTCCGGAGTCATTTACTCCTCAATTTGTGATCCTTTACTATTGGAATGCGATACTCTCATTCATGCATAGATGACAGCGCTGTAAAGCTGCTAATCTTTCTAAATATCTGTTTTTATGGTTTTGAAACTATGCTAGTTGTAAATGGCTTAAAAACCATGTAGTTTTGTTTTCATGTTTTTTTTAATTATACTAGTTGTAAATTGCTTTAAAACCATTTAGATAATAAATGTTCTTCACTTTAAACTTCATGGTTAATTGGATGGACAGACTGCTGCCGGTTATACTACTATAATTAAGGAATTAAAATTCTACCAGTGTAATAAAGGGCAATTCCACTGTCATGTACATGACAATCAGATAATAATTTCCCTAAAATTTATCATGCTATTTAAGAGTTTGTTTTCTTTAAAATTAATGTTGAT